CTGTAGGTGACCCTGCTTCGGCAGGGTGGTTGGACTAGATGACCCACAGAGGTCCCTTCCAACCCCTACTATTCTGTGATTCTGTGATTCTGTAACTGGAAACAAAGGACGTGGAAAAGGCTGAGGTACTCCATGCTTCTTCACCACGGTCTTTAGTGGCAAGACTGGACTTTAGCAACCCCAGGTCCCTGAGACCACTAGAAAGTCTGGAGCAAGGAAGGCATACCCTTGGCGGAGGGAGGATCAGTTAGGGAACACTTACACAAACTGGACACACACAAGTTCATGGTGCTTGACTAGATGCACCCACAACTGGCTGGTGTCATTGCAAGATCACTCTCAATTATGCTGGAAAGGTCACAGTGAGCAGAAGAGGTTTCTGAGAATTGGAAGGTGGCCAAGGTCACCCATGTCTTTAAGCAGGAAGATCCAGAGAATACAGGTCAGTCAACCTCATCCCCATCCCTGGGAAGGTGATGGAGCGAATAATCCTAGAAACCACTTCCAGACACTTAAAGGAGGAGCAGCTAGCAGTCAGCATAGATTTATGAAGGGAAGAGCACGCCTGACCAACCAGATAGCCTTCTGTAAGTGTATAGCTTGGTGGATGAAGGAAGAACTGTTGATGACGACTACCTTTACTTTAGCAAGGCTCCTGACAGTCTCACAAATTACCATTATAAACAAGCTGACAGACCAGATAAATGGACAGCGAGATTGAAAAATGGCTGAAGGCCTAGGCCCAGAGGCTTGCGATCAGTGGCACGAAGTCCAGCTGGAGGCCAGTCACTAGTGGTGCACCCCATGGGCTGACAGTGGGGCCTGTGCTGTTTAACATCTTCATTAATGACCCTGATGATAGAACAGAGTGTGCATTCAACAAGTTTGCAGATGATACAAGACTGACGAGTGCTTGATACACCAGGTGGTTGTGCTGCTACCATTCAGAGGGACCTCAACAGACTGGAGAAACAGGCAAACAGGAATTTCCTCATGTTCAATAAAGGCAAATGTCAAATCCTGCACCCAGGGAGGAAAATGCCCATAGATCAGAAGATGCCAGGTACCAACCTGTTGGAAAGCAGCTTTGTGGAGAAGGACCCAGCACTCATGGGGGACACGAAAGTAATCATAAACCAGCAATGCGCCTTTGCAGCAAAGAAGGCCAACAGCATCTGGATTGTATTAGGAACAGTGCTGTTAGCAGGCTGAGGGAGGTGAGCCTTCCTCTGAGGAGAGGCTGAAAGAGCTAGGATTGTACTGCCTGGCGAGGAAAAGCCTCAGGGGGTTCTCACCAATGTGCAGAAATAACTGATGGAGCCAAGAACACAGAAAGTAAAGAAGAGGAAGTCAGACTCTTCTCAGTGGTATCCAACAATGAGGCAAGATGCAACGGGTGAAAACTGAAATAAAGAAAACGGCATTTAAACCTAAGAAGAAACCTTTACTCTAAGAATGCTCAAACACTGGAGCAGGTTTGTAAGTTGTACAGATACTCAGTGCCCAACTGGACACAAGCCTGAGCAACCTGCTTTAGCTGACTGCATTTTAAGCAGGAAGGCTAGACTAGATTATCTCTAGTGGTCCCTTCCAATCTCTGTAATTGTGCACTGAAGGCATTGGAAAAGCAACTCATTCGAGAAAGGCCATTCCAAAAAACAGGAGAATTAACACAATTTCTTATTTATGGGTTGAATTTTTATGATTTCTCATTGTTTTTAACAAATGTAATTTTTCTACCTCTCCCATTTTATACACCATTCTCAGTCCAGCATAGAGCTGGTGGTTTTTTTGGTGGGTTGTTTGTGTGTTTTAAAATCAAGATAATTTATAGTCACATTACAGATAACTGAAAAGTGACCAAAAAAATAATAACGCATTTATTCTTTGATAACTAGCTCTATGATTTACCCAGGACATTTTTAGAAATTCAAATACCAAACACACGCACTGCAGTTGGCATATACAAACAATCTGCACAATTACAACACGCAAAAAAGCCATCCTCTTCAAGACAAAAATTAAAATGTGTTCTCTTTCTTCAAATTTATTTCCCAGTTTTTCCAATTTTAGAGGTAACAGCCACCCCGGTAGTGAAAACTATCATTTGACAAAAACAGAAAATTCTCTTCTCTGTTCCTGTAAAGTGACAGTGTCAGGCTGGTCCTTAACTTCAGCTGAAACTTCTGGAAGTCTTCCACCTTGCAGCTATCCACTTCATAATGCGACTTAAACTTTGGGTACCTCCCAGCAAATATGCACTACATACAAAGCTTATTTAATTACAACATACCCTTGATATGCCCCCTCCTCACTTGGTACCATTTTACAGTGCTAGACTCTACACTGATATAGAGACTGACAGCTTGCATCTTGTGTGGATATTAAAACACAGAAGGACAGTGAATTAATTCTAAAATGCATACTAACCATAGAAATAACACACAGTAGACAAAGACCAAATTACTATCTTTCATTTATTGTACAATATTTTTTCCTTTTGTCTGAATTTGTGGTACAAATATCTGCTCTGTTTTGGAAGGTATTTTTCCCCTCTAGAGCTACATCTGATGGGAACCTCTAACTCCATCTCTCAAATTGATGACTACACTATGTCTAAGGCACAAACTAGTGATTGGTGTGAGACAATAACCCCACAAAGCTCCTCCCCTTTCAAAACACAGCAGGCATTAGAACCACCAATCCACAAGCAAACAGTTTTGAAGGACTACATTTGATATTTCTAACTTGAAATGTGATCCACTCTCTGCCTTGTACAGTACCTGAAGCCTGTTTCTGTCTCCATGTTGGCTAGGGAAGAGTGAGAGATTCGTACATAGAAGACTGATCTTCAAAAACCTGCTAACAGGAGCCACAAAAACTCTAATTAAACTAGTTTCTATTTTTAACTTTCTGGGACATATTCAGATATTAGTTGATGGGGTAACCATATAAACACTTGAATAGATGGTCCCAGCTACGCCTCTTTCTGAACTGAATACTGCACTTATGGAGAAATTTAAGCAAAACTGAAAATGCAAAATAGGCATGAAACCCTGTTGGCTCCCACAGCACGTAAGCACTCTAAAATGGATGCAGCCTGCTCCATCTAGACATTGACAAAAATAAGCTGAAAGTATCCCCGAGCTAGTCCTCCTTCAAGCAAAAACCTCTGTATGATGTCTCTTGGAAACACAGGGATTATCTCCTTATGTATTAGTGATAGCAGAAACAATGCAACATTAAGTGGTCCCAAGGGCTTTTATTTTTCCTTCGACAGTTGTTCAACACTGAATAAAGTATATCAATGTGTAAGGGTAAGTATAAAAGTCAGTAAGTATGAAAAAGTAATCCTTTAAATTTAACAGTAACAGTGAAGAAAGAACAATAGAGAACAGTGGAAACTTGTTACTGAGAGACCTTGCTCTAACAGAACTGTACCAAAAATCCAGTCATAATACATCTGACAATATCCAGTTCTGTAGATTAAGTCCATGAACACAGTGCCTGAATGTCAGTTTTATATCAGCACATAATTGAAGTTCAGCCTTCATCATCACTGCTGCTCCATGCGTCTTCATATGCTGGATTTAAAGGCTGTTGAGGCAGAGACTAAAGAAAATAAAAATTCTCTCAGTGGTTTGCTTAATTAAAAATACTAAAATCAAATAAGTGCAATGCTAAAGGTATGTCTTAAATTGCCGTATGTAGACAAACTATTGTCTCTCTCATGGGTCCTGGAATATTTTTTTAAGCACTTCTTTGGCCCTTGTAGGGCCAAGATAGGATAAATCATGAAAAGAAATACTACTCTATTTAATTTCAACAAGAAAATATCTGGAGCACTGACTGGAAGTTTTGCAAATGTCCGGTATACAACTTAACAGATAGATACCACTGTGTTTGTTTTGAGTCACAGGTTTTAGTAATTTCCCTGGCCCAGCTTAACTGAGCACTACTGTTCCAAGAAGTAGTCCTAGCCTCTATCCTCATGCAACAACTATTTCACCTCAGTCCCCCTAGTGTCAAGCTAAAGTGTTTGCGCAGCTACACAATGCACTGAAATACAGTTTTGACCATGGGTACGATTTTGTTCTCGTTTACTTCTATTCTAGATTCTGATTCTGGTCATACAGGCACTCAAATGGATGTTCTAGCAGATAAGAGGAAGCAAGAACAAGTGGCCTGTGGACAGTAGAACTGCTTCTTTCAGAGGCAGTGCTCATCTACAACATTTTCAACAACAGGTGTAGCTTAACAGATTTCAAAACAATGGCACATATTACACACCTCCACCATACCAAATTTAAAGGGGCAGTTCTAATCAGAGCTGGGTAAATAATCTTGTTGCTGTGTGGTTGTTTTTATTTTTCAGACTACAAAAAAAAACAATTCACACATCAAAATTCTCAGCTACAGCAAAAATGTTCATTTCAGCTCAAGCGAACACATTTTGGGTTTAGGGTATCTAAGCTTTGAAACTACTTTTTTCATTTTTGCTGAAGTGCAAGATAGTTTTGAAATAAATTGTCTTACAAAGCAGAGCAGATGTTACAAAAATTATGTTTCTCATATTTTCCCCATCCAAAATTGAACACTTCAGAAATTTTAAAAAGTAGAATTTTTACATGCTATGAGCCAAAACATTAATATATCCTGGTTTTTTAACAAGTACAGTTTGCCAGACTCTGATTATGTGACTGGTTTCAGTTCCTTAAAATCTAGAATTTTTTTTCCCTCTCAAACTGTTCACTGAAATTTGTACTGTCCACCTCTGATACTAAGAGAGGGAAAGAACTCTCTTGGAAAACGGTGTTACATATGATCTTCCCTGTAACAGTCTGAACGGCTTGCCTCAGACGCTAAAATAAGCTCATTTAGAATCTTCTTTATTGTATTTCTGCATCTAAAATATTTGGGTATGAAGTGTGGCATCCCTAATCTTATTGCTTAATACAGTGTATATTCTTTAACAACTTCAAATACAATCTTTGGCACTTTCCAATTCCAAAACAGCATAAACTACAGAAAACAGTATTAGAAATTAAGGAAGCTAAAGTAAAAATTGAAAGACTGATAGCCAAATGACGAGTAGGAGCAACATGGTCTAGTGGAAGATGTCCCTGCTCATGGCAAGGGGGTTGGAACCAGATGATCTTTAAGGTCCCTTCCAACCCAAACCATTCTATGGTTCTATAAGAAGCTAGAAGTCTGCAAAAGATTTTACTAGACTATTATACAAATTATGCTTTTGAAATCCCACAACAATCAACAGATTGCACAGAAACAACAGGTGATTCTCCTCTTAATTAGGAATTCTTACAAATTTTGATGCTGAAACACCTACTTCATACTTCATTTCCATTTCCCCGGCCCCCCAGGTACAACAGTTGTAAAAGGCATAGTTCAAACTCAAAAATTCATTACCATTTCAGAAATGTCATCAGGAACTGGCTCTCGAAGAGCTGGTATCCATGCAAGGATATTGCAGTCTTTGCTACCACTATAAAGTTCCTTTAAGAAAGCAAGCAAAAATTGCTTTTACACAAATTTACTGAACAGTGACACAGGTATAATGTTAGGGAAAAATTGTATGAAATTTTTATTTAAAAATAAAGACATATACACAACTTCTAACCAGTGCTATAATCTTGATAAACAGTATTTTAAACTATATACCAAAAGAAAATGAGTAAATTTTTATATTTTTCCCAGACCGCTCACCAAACAGCACTACCCACATTTAAATTAACTTCATTGCTTAAATGCACTTTTCTTCTTCCCTCTCTCACCTCTCCTGAAAAGACATCTATTTTAACAGTTAGGAAGCTGAAGAGATGATTTATGTTTAATGGAGAACTAAGGGGGTAGGAGGAAGGAAAAGATTTTTTATTATAATTAAAAAACATAAATCAACTCAAAAGCATCTAGTAATACATGTCAGGAGGGTGCATAAGTATGGAACAAAGAAGTATTAAGTAAACATAGGTTCAGTAGGCCTAGGGCAGGAAAAGAACAAATAAAGAACAATTTGAAGCCTGTATCCTGTTGGGAAAGCAGAGATCAGAAAGACCAATTTATTATTTCTAATATAAATAACTCTGTTTATTATGGTAACGACTAAGGACTGAGATCCCATTGTGCAAGGCACCCTGCAAACACATGGAAGCAAAAAGTTTCTACATGAGACAGCTAACAGTCAAATACAGATTAGTTTTCTTAGCTCTTTATGAAATACTAACTTCTCTATCACTTTAAACTGAGGAAATTTTGCTAATGAGAAATACTGCACTATCTTTGCAGTAACTTTTGCACTAATAATGGTTTTATTTTCCAAAGTGCTACTTAAATGAACACGCATGAAGATATTCCTCTATGCCATCAATAATCTTGAATCATACTCCTGCATATTACATGTGATGTCTGACAACATTTGAGTACTGCTATGCGTTTAAACTGCCTGAATGAAACATAAAATATTCTTTCTGTATTCAGGCTGACAGCATGAAAGCCTTGCTTTAAGCATGTTGGCTTTTGCACTTAAACTAGCAACTCTGTGCATATTATTAAAACACTGATTCAACCTAAGTTCAATAAATCATTGCAGTTCTGTATTTGCAGAAAGTCTCCCATATTAGGTATACCTAATTCCAGAATTGCATGAATTACGTTGACAGTTGGTGCAGGAACTTAATGCCCAATTCCTATAAACATCCATTTATTTGGGTAATCTTATTCAAGAGAGCTGACACACTCATTTTTGTAAAACTGGTCCCATGCATAACACATAAAAGATTAGAGTTTATAATTTTATGAGAAACATCCTACTTATCTTGCTCTAAAGCAGACAAACTTACACCAAAATATAGGTCAAAGCCCACTTTATCGTGTCAGCAGTACTCTACTCAGGCCTCCTGTCTTTGACAGCACGCAGAATATCACCAGAACTTCAAAACCTTTTCCCACACCAAAAATACCTCTTTGTGATCAATGTCATAGTGACATGAGCACACTTTCATTTATTACCACTTGTCTCGCTTTCTGATCCTGGCATTGCAAGATCTTCAGTTAATATTGAGTAATACTTACAATTAATTATTACAACCTGAAATGGTGACTCATACTTCAAGTCAGCCCAAAGAAGAGCCAGTGAGCTCCATGCATGCTTACAGTACAGTACAGGACATACACATATATTGTACTACAATCATGCTCCATGCATGTTTATGGTACAATATATGGAAATATTATGCTTTAAGACTCTGAGGAAAGAAAACCTAGTTTAACTTACAGTTATCTTTAGTTATTAGCTTACCACTGGATTTGCCAAATACCTTTGCAGACATCACTGGCATTTCTTGAACAATAGAAGCAGCTATAATTTAAACTAAAACTGTTTTCTGGTGCATACTTCGTATTTTATGACATGTTATTTGTGCACGGTGTTTTACTCCATTTCTTTTTGTGAAAGGGAAATGTAGGTCTTATTTGTCTGCTTTAATATGGCACACTGATATCTAGCATATTAGATCCAACAGTAAACATCATCTAAGAGATTGCACAATAAATATTTCTTCTTTCACACCACCTTTGAAACTACCGACCTCCTGTTAAATTAATGGCTCTTATTAAAGGGACAAATTCTGCAGTTCTTATTACTCACAAGCAGACTAACATCTTATTAACTTTACAGAGATATTTACGTAAGAACAATTTAGGCCAACAATAATACAGTGGATTTTATGGCTCTATTCCCAGGATCTCAAAAGGCAGATATACACACATCAACTAAATCTCACACCACTCTGTAGAGACAGCACCACACAATATCTCAGACACTAAAGGTATTCCATACAAACCTGCTAATTAATTTGGATCTCATAAGAGCAGATAAAGACTAGTATCGTTGGATTGCAAATAGTGAGTTGCTTGGGTATCAACGATCATATTTGACCATACGGTTCTGAGCAAACAGAAGACACTTCTCACCTCAAATACATAACTGGTGCAAAGTTACAGTTCCTTTTGGTGCCCATTTCAGTTATGAGGTGAAACAAAAATAGTGATTAAAATACAGTTAATAAACAGAAGAACGTGAGGAACTGTCAGCAACCAACATCAATCGGAAGTTTTGAACACAGAAAAAGCAGTAAGAAAATCTAAGGACCACATTTGGGGGTTGGTACGACCAAAAAAACCAAAAAACCACTCAGTAGGGTTAAAGACAGCAGAAAAAGTTTAGAGGACTATCAATATGAAGAAAACTATTAGCAACAACAGAGACTAACTGCTAGATGGAAATGGTAGAAACTAAGTAGAAAAGATGTAGACTTTTTTTCATACAAAGACAGTGTACTAAGTTCAATTGTGCTAATAAGTAAGAAAAATGTTAAAAAGCCACCTGCTACACGTCACCTGTAGATGTACAACTTCTATCAGAGGAATTTAGAAGAGTTGTCTAAGAAAACTTCCAGCTTGCTTGAGCTAATTATGCTTTAATATGTATTGAAATACTACACAGCTGAAAGTCAGCTAATATGCCATTCAGGAAAAAAAAAGTGGAATGATACAGATACAAATGAACTGATGCTTCTTTAATCCTAAACAAGACAACAGAAAAGGTGATTAAATGATTCAATTACTGTAGAGTTAAGATATAGGAATACAAACAACATCAGCCAACGCAGTTTGCAACAAAGCAGGTTTTGTCAAACAGAACTGATTTTATTTACAGCTAGTAACTGAACACAGAAACAGACAGCTGTGAATGACTTCGTAACATATTGATTTAATATTCCTTTCATGAGTAAAATAAAACAGGTACCTTTACAAACAACTGCATTCTCAGACAATGAGTTTTAACTGGGAAATTATAATTTATTTTGGAATTATATGAAGATTGATGAATGTACTTAGTTGTCTTGAGACAGAATGAGCTATTTGGAAGTACAGATATGAACACAAACAGTCAAAATAACACTATCACTACATTTGGTGTTGACATACTGACTATAATACTGTTCTTCCATCAAAGTAACAATTTAATACAACTAAAAGCAGATCATTTAAAGAAAAAAAAATCCAGTCACACTTCTAGAATATAGACTTGAACTCTGGAAAAAGGCGAATCAGAAAGTGAACGAGGAATCACAACTGTTAAACAAATGAAGTTGTTGTCAACATAAACCTATAGCTATAGTGACTGATACAGTTCTTGTGTGCATGCTCAAACACGAGTGATCCTTTTGTAAGGATCTTAAAAGCCAAGATAGACACACTATAAAGAGAGACTTACTTCCAGGGCTGGAAAACATGTTTTACAGTGAGATTTAATATGACTCACCTCTTCAGCTTATCAAAAAGAACACCAAAGACATCTTAATATGAACACATTAGCACTTTTATGGGGAAGCTGTTCTTAAAAACACAAAGGGCTTTTTAAGCTAGTGAAGCATAGTCCAGAAAAGATGTGCGTTAGCTATAATGTGAATATTCCACCTTTCAGTCAAGATCTTTGATTAAAGCACATCCCTGAAAAGTTAATGTTTTTGTGCAAATAGTCTGGCAATCTGCATAAATATTTCAGGTTGTCTGGAATATTGTTTGTACTTCACTTACCTGAAAATTAGGTTGAAATACACAGCAGTTGACAGTACTATAATGCCCTCTAAGCATAGTTATCAGTTCTCCTGTGAAAACTGTATAAACAGCAATGGTACTACCATATGGTACAAAGGCAAACTCTGGATTACAGCCACAAGAGGTGGTGAATTTGAGTCCTTTTCTACTTTCATTACAGACTTTCCCATAATTCACCTGGAAAATGAAGGATTATGCAGTTAGTTATTAACTAAATCTACAGGAAATAGCTTTACATGAAAAGGTCAATTTCACTTCTTTAATAGCCAATAAAATTAATTTTAAGCTTCCCAATGTTCATACAAATCCTGAGATTTCTAATTACAAATGTCTATCAAGAGAATCATTTTCTGTTTGTTAAAGTTCACTGTCCTTAATACCAACTTTAAGAAAGGGAAAGAAAGATATGCCTAAAAATCAGCAGTCCCAAACTTCGATACATGCCAAATCAACACGGAACACCTAAACTATCACTGAAATTAAAACTGGTTCAGGAATCGCATTTTCCTAGATGATGAAACATAATAATTTTCTCTCAGATACTGAAACCATTAAAAGAAATTATGCACAACAGTATACAGTTATAAATCATACAATAGTTTGGGTTGCAAGGGTCCTTTCCAGGTCAACTAGCCCAACCCCCCTGCAATAAGCAAGGACATCTTCAACTAGCCCAGGTTACTCAGAGCCCCATCCAACCTGACCTTGGATGTTTCCAAGGATGGAGTGTCCCACCTCTCCGGGCAACCGCTTCCAGTGTTTCACCACCCTCACTGTAAAAAAATTTCTTTTTTGTATCTAGTCTAAATCTACCCTCTCTTAGTTTAAAACCATTACTCCTCACCCGATCACTACAGGGCCCACTAAAACATCTGTCCCCATCTTTCTTATAAGTCCCCTTTAAGTACTGAAAGGCTGCAATAGAGTGTCCCCAGAGCCTTCTCTTCTGCAGGCTGAACAATTGCAACTCTCTCAGCTTTTCCTCACAGGACAGGTGCTCCATCCCTCGGTGGTCCTTCTCTGGACCCACCTCAGCAGGTCCATGTCTTTCTTGTGCGGAGGGCTCCAGAGCTGGATGCAGGACTCCAGGTGGGCTCTCACCAGAGTGGAGCAGAGGGGCAGAATCACCTCCCTTGACCCATTGGCCACATTCCTTTTGGGGCAGCCAGGGATACGGTTGGCCTGCTGGGCTGTGAGCACACACTGACGAGTAATGTCTAGCTTTTCATCCACCAGTGCCCCCCAAGTCCATCTCGGCAGGGCTGCTCTCAATCCCTTCACTCCTCAGCGTGTATTGATATTGGAGGTTGCCCCAGTCTGGGGGCAGGACCCTGCACTTGGCCTTGTTGAACCTTCTGAGGTTCACATGGGCCCACATCTCAAGCCTGACAAGGTCCCTCTGAATGGCATCCCTTCCCTTCAGTGTGTTGACCACACCACTCAGCCTGGTGTCATCTGCAAACTTGCTGAGGGTGCACTCAATCCCACTGTCTACGTCACTGATGACATTAAACAGTACTGGACCCAATACTGCAAGACTTTAGTCCACAAATTGAAGAAAAATTAACCTATAGTACCTTATAATCTGTCAGTGCCCCAGCTGACTGATGTTGCAGAACACTACATTTTTGAAATGTATATGCCAGTAGGATGGAGGGCAAAGAACAGAAGTATGAGTCTAGACAATGCAAGAACTAGCCTTAAGGATTTCTCAGCAAGTCATCCTTTGCTCGTGGAGGAAGGAACAGAGGAAAAACATCTGCAACATATGGAAAGATTCTGCAGGTCTCCCTCATGAGTTACTTGGAAACAGCAGGAGATGAGTGTGCAGTATGAAAACAATTGAAGGGCAAGCAGAAGGATGGCATTAAGTAAAGCATGAAATACAGGATTAGAAGAAAGAGATTCAAGAAGCAGCAACAAATAAACACTAACTTGCTAAATTATTATGGACCATTTAGAGTGATAAAAAGAGCCTATCTTCTAACCAAAGCTAAATCATCACTGAGAGATTCACTACTGTTCCTTATAAGGGCAGCTGGGATAGGAGCAAATGCGACATTTCTAAGATCTGGCTTGTGAGGTGAGAGGGAAGCCTTGCAAATAAAAGTAGTATAAGAAGTTAAGAGCTTGAAATGTACAGATGCTATACAGATAAAAACCTCACCAAAGGTTGAAAGTGGAATGTTTCCACACATGCTAGGAAATCTTCCAGTTTGATAAATCAGTTTAATTAGGTCCTATCAGACATCAAAAGTGTATTCATGAGAAAATACAGAAATATATTCATGAGACAGTATAGCTTACCTCTAAACAAACCTAACTAAAACATTAGAATTATTACAAATAAAAAATACATATTTTTTTTTTTCCATGAAGAGGGAGAAGTCCACTATGAACATCTGAAATTCCCTACCTAAACCTCAGGGCCTATAGTTAAAAAAAAAAAAATCCTAAGCGTGAAATCTTTTGACTATAAGCTAACAGATCTGTGAAATTTAGCAGGTAAATATTCTAACACAAATGTCTTGCTTTGTCAGGTGTTTGATTCGTACTACATCAATTGCCTGAGTTGCTCTCTTTTTCAAGTAAGCTCTTTCACAGTAAAGAGCACTTATGTAAGAAAAGTATAACAAAAAGGAGTCCTGAGAAAATCTCTCTCAATCACCATAAAAACATATACAAAGAAAGTTGGACTACCATACAAGTAGGCTGATACTTTTTCACACTGTGAGGATATTTTCATGAAATGTGAAGCTTATGTCATGTCCTTCGTGGATAATAGCACTAATTTTTTAAAGACAGTGTTTATAAATATTGACTGTGTTAAGTCTTGTTAATGGTAGTCATTTTGAGAGGCATATTACTCTGCTGATAAAGAGCAATTAAACTCCTTCACACAGCACGTGAGCTGTAACAGCAACAAATCCCAAGCCACCATACTGCTTGTGACAAAGGCATATAAAATGAAAGGGAGGAGTGGAGGCTGGGGAAAGTGAATTACATGGCTATACTCACTGTAAATGTTCCTGCTTGATACAGAAGCAACAGAAAAGAAAGGCAAGGATGCTGTCAAAACAAGAACTGAGGAAGGATCTTAAGAACTGGCTTTGTTCTTTAAGCACACAAACAGAAAACCACCATCCTTCTGTTTGATTGTTCCTATACTCAGTGAATCAGGACTTCCTATTCCTTTTTGTGATAAAAGATGTATGTAAGATGTGTATAAATCCAACATTCTTTTCTCTTAAAAACTGAAACAATCCACTAGGCCCCAAATTTGGCTCATAGCTCAAAAAAAAAATCATATGCATGGCTTAATTTCAATGCCTTTTGAAAGTTATAGAAAAAAATGACAGAGATCAAAAAGACTGGCTAGTAGAGGAGATAAGGGACTATGGTATGAACTTGTATTACCTGTACATGTGTTTATTTGTCTGCTAGTGCCTTGAAATCATTTTAAGCGATACCTCTGGGCAGTGTGTGAAAATACAGTACTCTGGATAATATAGTTCTGTACTTGAAAAAGCAAAGCAGGATCAAGCTATTCCATACCAAACAAGAAAATTGTGAAATAGCCTGTGAAACAAATCAGTGAACTAACAGGCACAGAAAAACAAAACACAGTGATCCAGCTGGTGAAAGGAGAGTGAACAAACTGTATTATCTACTTTAGAGATGGTGATTTGAAGACAGAAAGATGTCTGTATCTGAAGTGCTGAGAATAAGCTGGCAAATATGGGTAGGGTGGAGATAGAAAAGTCCTTTCATTTAAATGTCTATAAGAAATTCTTTTTGCTGTGTTCTGAAACTAAGCAGCAGAATTAAAACATTTCTAAGGTAAAGTAAAATTTCTTCCTTTACTGATAGCAATGACAGACCACAATCACAATTAGCTAAAATCCCATGGAAACTGACTTACCTAGTACATCCTTCTTTCAAAATAAACACAAAATGAAAACATGAACCCTTACAAAAAAACAAGCCATAGAAAGGACTGGAGCAGCAGTAGAGATTTAATCCCCACCCTCCCTCACTCCATTTGCTTGCAATGCAAATGCAGAGGGACAGAGATTTTTAACACTGCTATGCAGCTCCACAAGAGAGATTCCACAAAAACACAAAGAAAGCTGCAAGAAAGCCAGGCTATCAATCAGTGACACTCTCAAGTATGGACAACTGTCCTGTGGATAGCATGCTGACAACTCATAGGTACAAAAAGAAACAAATTTTCTACGAACAGTCACTGCATATTAAGATATTCATTACTGTCTGAAATGTGTTCAGCTATGCTCACAAATTCATGAACTAAAAGACTGAATACGGTAACCTTAAGTAGATCAAGGCTTCTTCATACACTGTTTTGTAAGAAACCTGGAAAAAATGCTCATAAAATCTTCTAATACTGAGATCAAGCAGGTATATCCTTTACGAAAATGAAAAAATATCCAAAGTTATAATGACAATTGCAGAGATTATAAATCTTCTAAAATTAAGTGCCAGTAAAAACATAACCGAAGATCTCTGAAAACTTACTAATGTGTTTTCTCCAGTGGAGCTGTTCCAGAGTCGCATCCGATCATCTGTACCAATAGTCAGCAGATGAAGTCCATCATTTGTATAGCATAAACCATTAACTCTACCATTGTGAGCAGTGTTTGCTGTCAGGAAAAAGAGATGGTTCAGATTTCTACAGAAGAATTACTATTTTGTATATACATTTTTATTTCAATGTATAGAACTGAAACTACTGTTTAAATGGTAATATATCAGTAAATTAATAATTTAACTCAGTTTATAAATGCATCTGGCTAGCGACAAGTCACCAGCCCTGTTCCTTGGGGCTCAGTTCTAGGGCCAGCTCTGTCCAAATTATCGACAACCTGGATGCAGGAGTTGAATTCACCGCTAGCGAGTTTGCTGATGATACCAAACCGGGAGAAGGCTGTTGACTGTCCTGAGGGACAAGGTGCCTTGCAGAGGGATCTAGACAGATGGAGCACGGGGAAATAATTAACGGGACGAAATTTAACAAGAAGAAATGTCAGATTCTGCACTGAGGACAGAGTAACGCCGGGCACAAGTGTAAACTGGGAGAAGCTGGAGAGCAGCCCTGCAGAGAGGGTCCTGGGGGTGCTGGCTGGCAGCAGGCTCCACAGGAGTCAGCCGTGTGCCCTGGCAGCCCGGAGGGCAAATCGTGGCCTGGGGTGCATCAAGCACAGCACAACCGGCCGGTCAGGAGAGGTGACCGTCCCGCTGCGTTCAGCGCTGGTGCGGCCTCACCTGCCGTGCTGGGGGCAGTGCTGGGCCCCACTGTTTAAGAAGGATGTGCAGGATCTGGAATGCACCCAGAGGAGGGCAACAAAGCTGGGGAGAGGGCTGGAAGGCATGTCCTGTGAGGAGCGGCTGAAGACTCTGGGCTTGTCTAGTTTGGAGAGAAGGAGGCCGAGGGGCGACCTCGTTGCTCCCTGCAGCTTCCTGAGGGGGGGATGTGGAGAGGAGGGAGGTGCTGAGCTCTTCTCCCTGGGATCCAGCAATAAGAAGTGTGAGAATGGTTCAAAGCTGTGCCAGGGGAGGTTCAGACTGGACATCAGGAGGCATTTCTGTACTGAGAGGGTGGTCAAACACTGCAACAGGCTTCCTGGAGAGGTGGTCGATGCCCCAAGCCTGTCAGTGTTTAAGAGGCATTTGGACAATGCCCTTAATAAGGTGCTTTAACTTCTGGTCAGCCCTGAACTGGTCAGGCAGTTGGACTAGATGATCATTGTAGGTCCCTTCCAACTGAATATTCTATTCTATACTGTTTATTATAGAGTATTATAAATGAATTTCACTGAGTGCACATTTATAAGTACGTTAAAATAGCCAAAATCCAACTCAGTGCTACCACAGCAAGCCTAATTATGGTGTCCATAAGTTCACTCACTGACAAATGGATAAGGTATATCTGCATTATAATGCAGTACACAATTTAGACAATACCTCTTATGTAAACAGTGTTATCTGTTTTTCAAAGATTTTATTAAAAAGTTTGTTAGCTGCATTTGTTTTAGTTAAGCTATATTTCAATATAATTAATACCCTAGTCTATCCAATTGCCATTAGATTATCAAAAAGTATCTCGAACCTGTCAGACAGAGAAATAAAGTTGAAAAGCAAGTTACTGTGCTTGAACAGGACAACATGTCATTCAAAGGAATGTATAAAATGGCACTAATTATCTTGGGAGTTACATATAATTTTGGTTTTTGTGAAAGAAAATTTGTCCAAAATTTTTTTTTTCCATACGTCATAGATTTCTTTAGAGCATTTTGATCTTGGTAATTTATTAAATTTCAATGAAATTAAAAACTGTCAAAATCAAACACCCATATTACTACACTACAATTTACACAGTAGAAAGCATGGTTATTAAAACAGATACTCACTGCTATTTCATATCCTGTGTAACTGTACATTGTGGAAAATTAGTGTGACTTACAAGATATTTACGTGTATTTTTCTGTATGCAATTTAAGTTGCACATAACAAGTCAGACTGACTTGTAGCTTTAATCACTATGGTTTATGCTACACAAATCACTTTATTCAGACCCATGAGACACAGTTTCTGCTTTGGGATTCAATTTCCAGTACTATATATTTGTACCTCAGAGCAGTGACTGTTCAAGTATTTTTTTGGCCTGCCAAAATTAAATATCTTTTGTGCAGAACTGACCAAAATTCATGAACTACAATTAAAGGGAAGCTTCTAAACCTTAAATCTAGGTTGTGGTTTTTTGTTTTAGGAAATGTGACCTGAAGATACTAAAACTGCTAATGTTGTCACTAATAATAACCGATGCAAGGCACCATTAATGCATTTGATTGTACTGAAATAGAAGTGTAATTTACCTTCCTCTAAAATTAAGTATAATTGTATATTTATACTCTGTTGTATACTTTATGCAGTATAAAAGGGATATAATTGATTTTATGGCACCACATACAAGAAAATACTCTAGAGGCTTGCACCGGAAACAAGACAAGGAACACACTTTTGTGGGTTTTGTTTGTCTTGTCTTTCTTTTCAAAGGAGGATAGTTAACTACTGGAACAGCTTATGAAGACTGAAGTGACTACAGGGAAAAACGTTTAGAACAGATACAATACTGTTGCCAAGGAGATCTCTCTAAACAAGATCCCCAGCCACAAACACTGCCTCTGTAACAGAAGTAACTGAATAAAATTCAATGGTCTGTGGTACGCAGTAGGTAACAACTGGGTAACTACTACTCTCTTCGCTGGTCTTGGTATTCAACACATTTATGAAATATAAGAATACTTCCAGTTACATATGGATTACCACCAGTTATATTCTGTATTACCTGCCTCAGAAGATGCTTTGGACTTTTCTCCATTGTGCTGATCAAGCGTAGCCAGACATCCCGATGCTCTCCTCACATCCCACAATTTTACTCTACTGTCAGCACTAAGAAAAACAGATTTGCATACATGAGGGAAATTGTGTGCACCTTTGTTCAATAACTACCTTTAGCCAATCCAGCTGGTACTCACCCTGGTCCAGCAACTATTCTGAACTACTCATCATGCAGTCACATTTAAACCAATAGAATTGCATGGAAAAAAAAAACCCATCAAGATAGACTTCAGACATTCATTCACATGAATTAATGAATATAACTGGTACACTACAGGAACCTAAGTTAAGCATGAATATTTGTCTACAATACAATACACTTCTCTCTTTGTCTACAGCATAACGGTTCCCTTGCACACATCCACAGACTAGGAATAAATGTGCTAATTCTTCTGTTGATTAAACTGTAGCTATTGACTCCAGCATTGTCTGTAACAGTTGTCTGGGAAGTCAGGCTCTTGCTATCACAGATCAACAGTATGACTGGTATGCAAGTTGGCTACATACATGTAGGCTGGAAAGGTCTATATGCTCTGTTGTCATATGGTGTCATGGCAAAGAAAGCGAGCTTGCTTCTGTAGGAACTCACTGGCTTTGTCCATATTACCAGGGTGGCACAAGGAGGGAAAGACCAAGGTTCAGGCTGCTGTGATTCATTCTGGTTCCCAGGCTGCATGCCCATGCTTCACTCACACTGTGTCTTTGCCAAAAACAAAAGCTATGATAACTGCTGGTACTACCTACACGCTTAGACAGCAACATTGCAGACAATGCACTTTCTATGGCACCTTGATGTGCAGCTTAATTTGAGCATTCCAGTAGAATAATTCTGTGTGCATCACATGACTCCCAAGTATAGACAGGAGTTAAATGCATAGGGAAGACCACTTCCCATGCACTGTCACCACTGTAGACGTGTTTACTGAAACTGTTTAGACAGTTCTTAGCAACTTCACTGTCCTTTTGGAGGAAAAAAAAAAACGACAAAAAGACCCCCAAAACCAAACAAAACCCCACAACTATAAATCACGTTTCACCCCAGGTAAACAAAACCAACTGCATCTCTGATCTACTGCTGAAAAATACTCACAATCAAATTGCTTCTTAGATAAGCAGCATTTTAACTGAAGTACTACACAATTGTTCCTGTGTTCTCAAGTTAGATCAGTGCATTAATATCAGGAATGTATATAGCGTACATATACGCCAACTGACCAAAGCAAAACCAGCGGTTATTCCTTATCTGTTCTGCACTGTCTATCTCCACTACATATTGATTCTGTTAACTTCCAAGTTGTATTTCAACTGAATATGCTGAGAATATGTTACTTGGCTGCAAACACATATTCTAAGACTGTGAATAGAGATATTGCTGAGGTTTGAGATGACTGTACAGGGAGTAACAAACTGCAGGGAGTTCGTGGAAATATTCTTTTAAAGGGCATTAAAAGAGTTTCCTTATTATAAAAGCCTAGAGTTGTCCATTTTTGATGGACCTAGCCAGGTCTAAAGAGCAAGAAAGAGTTTATAATCTTCTCTAGTGCCTGCAACTTTAGTGTGTGAAAGACACCCAGAAAACATGTCTCTTCTCTGACTGTTCCAATCTTCTGTCAAAACTACAGAAGAGCTGAGTATTACACAGAGAAATCTGAAATAACATGCTTCATATGCAAGTCACACAAAACCCCAAAATAGATTATCCTTCCCCCAAAGCGATCACAAGCAAACATACAATTGTCTTGGAAAAGTGTCGCATCTCCTGATAACGCAAGATTAGTCCAGATTCCCTTTTTAGCAGTACCAGTTCCTCCTTACTACCTACTCATTAATTCAGTGCTGCCAGTTCTTGCCCATATTTGTCTTAGCAGATGGCGAAACTGAGTTACGTTACTAGGAATTAGTAGTCCAACTATGGCACTGAGTTAAGTAACAGAGCCGTAAGAAATATATTTAACATGTAATTATCATAAGACAATACGACAAAATAAGTAGATGCAGTTTACAGTTACATTAATTTGAAGAAAAATGTTTTGGGAAACATCAGTAAATCAATACTTAAGAAACAAAACTTGTTACTATTTCTGTGACGGAAAAACAAAAAAACAATTTTTCATTTGCTACAACAAAGCAGCAAATCACACTGTTAGAAAATTTCCCAACTATGTTGAACTTTTAAGAAGTTTTGCATCAGAAGGCAAGGGTATGCAATTCCGATATCAATTTTTTAAAATTTCACTGACAGCTTATAAAACAGCCATTCCTCTCTGCAATTCAAAAGAAAAAACGTGCCAATCATGAAACCAAGAAGAGAAATGTTACATTATAATCAAAAGCTAACATATACAAAAGTTACAGGAAAGCCAAAAGGAACTTTTAGACTGAAAATGGTTGGAATGGCAAAAAAACCCACAAACAAACCCGGGAATACCAACATAGAATCCATACTTACTGAACTACTGCATCTTGGAAAGTTATTACCTGTCAGCTGAACTACCTGCATTACGCTTTTTGACATAATTGAGCATGATTAACCACGATGGTACTTTGAGCTAAACATGTTTTACTTTGTTATAAAACTGATTAGCAATGTGCACACTACTAAACAGTAAGAAGTAAGTATCTCTATAATGCTCTATCATTTTCCTATGCCTTTAAATGCAATTACTTTTCCAAAATTCTGAACAATCTTCTGACAAAATAAGTATCACTTGGATAGCTCTTCAGGCTTACATCTTCTAGGCAACATCTACAAAACTATGAAGAGGTTAAAGTAAATTATGAAGATCAAAGTTAAAAGTGCATTTGAACTGTAAAATCTTGCATAATGAATATCTTAAATTTTACCATCATACATTTTTACTGCATGTAACAGTCCAGCAACATCACTACCTTGCTGTTGCCAAAACATATTCGTGACGTGGGGACCAAGACACTGCCAGTACTTCTTGCCTGTGACCTAAAAATTATATGAAAAAGCCTATATGATTTTCTAGGAAAATATTTATACACAACATTTTATGTAACCAAGTACTTAGTTCTATAGCATCAACTAATTCAGAACAATAATCTAAGTTGTAACATGAATTTGAATTTTGTGGAAATATGCATTTTGGGCTAGAGGTTATTTCTCTTTCTTCCTCTTGCTCCAGTGGGATTGCAGTGATCTGAAAGTGATAGATTAAGCATTACATGTGTATAACTTTGGTAACGAACATGGTTTTACTCATGCAATACACAGTCACAGCTACTGACTTAAGTACTGTTATTAAATTTTGTGTTAGCACTGGGGTTCTCACATGCAGAAGGAACTTTCCATTTGTTTTTCTTCAAATCCTTTCAAAATGTTTAATACAAAGTATATTTACCTTATGCACTTAAGATTAAACCTTTATTCAGGTCATGCTCAAATACTCTTGTCCTGAAAATGGGGTATTTTTTCCCCTAATTAGTCTGAAATATTAAGATATTGATAAATGTCTTCTTAGGAATGTCATACCCAGTGTGGCTTAGTGGCAAGTAATACATATAGGCACACACACTTCAAAACTCGGAAAGTTGTAAAAATGTTAAAGAAATACAGACAATAGGAAGTACAAGGTGTCCTAAGCGGAAAGACTGCAATTGCATTTCATGTAATAATAGAAACACATTGCTGAAACATAAACTAAGTTATACATTTTTGCTAATGCAGTTCAGAGCTACGTGAACCACTTTGTTTCTGGTACATCTTCCAGTAGCTGGTTTTCCATTACCTGAAGTAATCAAAGGGCTGTGACGCCCAGGATAATGGAGAAAAACTCCATAATACAGGTACTGCAGGATACACTGTGAAGGCTCAGGGTAGACATAGTTATTTGGATTTCTTTGGTAAACTACAGCCAAGCGTTTAGCTCCATTTCAGCTGCTAGAGTTCGCCTACGTGCAAAATATTCATACCTATTTTCAAGACACTACTGAGTAAAAATTATCAGATTATGTTTAGTGGAGGACATAATCTGCTTCCACATGTTCCTCTGATATTGCACTTGAGGTAACTGTCCCAGGCTGTGTACAAAGACACAATAAGCTTGTGCCTGGAAAGCACTAACTCTTGTTAAAATCAAGAGGCCCAGCTGAAACCAAACTGATCCTCTAGAGAACTATTTTTGTGCCTGCGCTCTCTGGGGCTCTCAGTTCTACAAATAGAACGTTGAGACGCCCATAGTGGTTGACCGAGTTCAGAAGGGCTTACAGGCTTAGGCTCTGCATCACACTAAAGCACCTAGGCTGCTTTCAGACTTGCACTGGCTAGTGAAGAAACAGAGCCATGTTTGCACTTCAGTGTGTCTGAGTTCACATTTCTCTACAGTTTCTAGATCAGACCTGGCTCTTGCCCTGCTGGTTTGAAGCATGAAGATTCACCTTGTAATCGTCTTTACTTGAGTATGTGTGTAAGTAGTCCTACACCAAAAAGTAAACATTAGAAGAGACATTGAGGACAAATTCTCACCAAGTGCAAAAAGTAATGGATTATGCAACAATAATTTCCTATATTTATTGAAATAGGTAAATGCAAAGGATTAGATACCGTCCTTCTACAGCAAGCAGCATCTTGCCTGTTATACAGAAACTTCTGAACAAATCCACCCAAGCACCTCCACAGAATATTTTCTTAAAAATAGTGAAGGTTTTTTTGTATTGGTGTTAGGTTTTCTTGTTTGGTTTGGGGTTGGGTGTTTTTGTTTGTTTGTTTTTTAAAAAAGCAGCACCCCATATTGAATTTCCATGAACACAAAAACAATGCCTATACTTAACCATGTAATAAACAGTAGTTAGTATTGATTGGGTCATGAAAACGCCCAAACTTCTGTAATAACTGTTCATTAATTAATACTTGTATTCTCCAATTCATTAGCACTAGACTAACACCCAGAAGAATCTTCTGCCACTGTGTAAGTTTCACAACTGACAATAAATAAATTAATCATGTCACTTACAAAGAATACATTGTATACAGCGTTTCTTTACAGGACTTGTTTTACTCAAAGTAGTTATTGTTTAACATTTATGTTTCAGATTAAAAAGTACCCTGCAGAATGTGAGAACAGGATCCAGACTTCAAGTCACAGAGCTGTACTTTGGGGCTTTTGGTACCAACTGCAACAAAAGAAACAAAAGACAGCTAAAAAAATCCCCAGCATTTGAGAGAACAACAACAACAACAATCTTAGCAATGACAAAGAAAAAGAAGAAAAATGTTAGCTGCATAACAGTTCATTTAGTCAGCGCAATGAATTCTATTAATAGATTAGCATTTTCAGTCAAAGTAAATTTACTACATAAAAACCAGAATTTAGAAACTGGGGGTAAACGGGACAGTACTTACGAAACTTCAACATTAAAAATATCTCCTTTAAAATATTTTTTTTTGCTAAACATGCTTACGTTGTGTACATGTAAGCAACACACAGCTCCCCCCTATTTACACAATTTACTATGTTCAGGTCTAATAACCTTCAAATGGTAACTTCTGTAATGAAAGGTAATCTAATTAGGGCTAGTAATTTTTATCTAGAAGAAGAATTGATAGATGCATTATTTCAGAAAAACAAATGTTATATTCTCATTGACATCACCAAGCTAACTGATCATATTTTATTTTACCAATGACCTTATGTCTTATGAAGACTGAAATTATGTGAAAATAAGACAGGGGAGGGCAAAAAACCCTACCGAATATTACTTGTTACTATAAACCCAAAATACATAGGACATTTCTTAAAACCACACACATACCTGCTATTAAACAATGCTTTGTAGCAACTGGAGACATGTGGTGGCTATAGACTGTTCCCTCAAAGTGAAATACATCTGCAGGCTGATAATAAGAATAATAAATTAATCGTAGTGCAAGTATGTTATCAGAATGTAAACCCTCATTATTATTTTCCAAGTAGCCACTGCAAATGAGGCTAATACAAATATTACTATTTACGTACTAACAATAACTCTCCTGCTTAGAAACCAGCTCAGACAAACATCGCAAAGTAAGTCCATTTCCAACACTAGAACAACTATGCCAGAGCTCTGAGGTGACCCAAAAGACAGAAGAAGAAAATTGGCTAGTCAGAAGCATGAATGGAAATTATTAAAAAATTATCAAAAATGCAAAAAGCTAGCAAGAAAAAACAGCAAACAAGAAGTTCTAATATAGAAACAGAAGTCAACAGGAAAGAGGTACTCAGACTAAACCTAAAATGTCCTTGTCATTCACAAACATCACATACTATCTTCAATTCCCCATAAAAACCCCAAACCACACAAAGTTATTAGCTCCCTTGTGAGTGTCAACCATTAATGAAATATAATATTGGCTTTAATAATCACAGAATGGTAGGGGTTGGAAGGGACCTCTGTGGGTCATTTAGTCCAACCTCCCTGCCGAAGCAGGGTCACCTACAGCAGGCTGCACAGGACCTTGTCCAGGCAGGTCTTGAATATCTCCAGAGAAGCAGACTCCACAACCTCCCTGGGCAGCCTGTTCCAGTGCTCCGTCACCCTCAGAGTGAAGAAGTTCTTCCTGATGTTCAGATGGAACTTCCTATGCTTCAGTTTGTGCCTGTTGCCCCTTGTCCTGTCACTGGCCCCATCCTCTTGATACCCACCCTTTTATAGACATTTATAAGATCCCCTCTGAGCCTTCTCTTCCTCAGACTAAACAAGCCCAGCTCCTTCAGCCTTTCTGCGTGGGAGAGGTGCTCCAGTCCCCTCATCATCCTCGTAGCCCTCCACTAGACTATGTCCAGTAACTCCTCAGCTTTCTTGAGTTGGGGAGCCCAGAACTGGACACTTACTTTCAGGTACCATTGCTTTTCTTGTCTCATTCTAAAATATTGTATATAAAAAAAAAATCCTTTAAAACTAAGTTGTCTGTGCTTACAAATACACCCTTTGGTGGCAGAACAGGTCAGTCAATAATATTCATATGAACACCCTGTCTTTTAAGTGATGGTCACAGGTTTCACCTGGAAAGTGAATTGAACTTTGCATTTATGAGAAGATTTAGTAACTTCACACACAGCTTCAGATCTGAAAAAAAAAAAAAAAAAAAAAAATTTTTTTGAAAAACCCACAAGTATATGTAAAACAAAAAAAAAAAAAAAAAAAAAATCTGTGTACCTATGTAGTGAATAATTTCTTTCACTATGCATGAAACAACATCCAAATAGCATCAGTGTAAATCCATTTATATATTCATATTGGAAACAGGATAAACTGCAGTCATGCATTCACGTTTCAACAAATAGATGTGAGGACTGGTGAGTTAAAGCAACCTAAAATCCTACAGAACATGTTTACTTCAATAACACTAAGGCAATGCTAACCAATGTAACTAATGGTTCCTCTATTTCTCCATCAGCTTTTAGAAATGGTGTCTACAGTGCTTACAACAGCGGAATTCTGGACCTAATGACCCTGAATGCCAAGACCACCACTCCTTCAAAAGCAGTATTTAGGCCTTGGTTACTATAAATTATCATCCCTGCTGCATACTACCATTACACTCAACAATCCCCAAGACTGAACTTCAGACTGGTCATCGGTGGACAAGCTTACATAGCATAAATTCAACCAGCAGTATTCTTGTTCACAGCAAAAGCAGGAAGTAATTGTCCCACAGGTTCCAAGCTCTTGCACAGTTTAGACATTCCAGTTTTCAGAAACAGACAGGTGCACACCAAGGTAAGCGTGAATGCCAGGACCATATCACCCTACTGCTGCACCCACAGTTCTAACAATTGGCTGGGTTTCATCCTCTCAGATGCTTGGTCCTGTAAGCGCTGGGAGACCTACGCATGCGGAATGAGTAACATGCATACAAAGAAGCCTAGCAGCTGCAGAATTTCTCTCTTACCTGTAAAGTATTTGTATCCCATATTTTCAAGGTTTTATCAAATGAGCTGGATGTGAACATGCCAGTGTCGTAAGGATACCACTGGACTGTCTCCACACTGTATCTGTGTACATCAGGATGGCTCCTAAAATCAAGGAAAATATTCCAATTGGTTAGACTCCTGATAATCATCTTATAATCGTCCTGATACTTGATGACAATCTGAAAACATAGTTTAAACTTTTTTTATTCTATTTATACTGAAGTTTTCAAGAAGAACTAGTTGTTTTGGTGCCTCAATTTTCATCCAACCAATGCTGATTACTTTGAAGAGCCCTCATTTCAAGAAACTACAGATCATTTACCTTTTCAAAATATGGTATCTGTAGCATATCTCAAGACACTCTGTCTGAGGCACAAAAGGCAATCATGTCTTTTGAAATTCTTAAATTCTAATGTTTAAAGATCTAATTTTTAAAGTGAGGGCCTAACACTACAAAACTTTTATGCTTGTGGAATCCCACTGTCTTAGAAATGGATCCACTGAAAAATACAATCACATATACAGTTCAAAAAATTAATGATCATTAACTAATAATTACAGCTACACAGTTATTGGAAATTCATGTATACTGAAGTCACCAGGCAGCAGCAGACTGAGTTACTACCAGCTAATTATTTTTGCACGCAGAAATGAAAGAGGAAGAACAATATGAAACGTTCAACTCAACTATGCATAGTAACAGAATGTAATATAATTAATATACATTAACTGTGGTGGGAAGAAGAGACACTAGACCCAATCTTGACAGCTCCAGGACATGACTCAGCTGACCAGGTTCTGAACAACATGGGTTGTTTCACATACCTGCTAGCACACTCATATCTGAGCTGGATCCATGTGGATCCAGCTTCAGTGCCCAAACCCATGCTCCCAGAAGTACCATGCTGTTGTAGGTCAACCCTAGGCAGCTAAGCACCACCACAGCTGCTCATGCACTCCCCCCCTGCAGTGGGATGAGGGAGAGAATCCAAATGGCAAATGTGAGAAAACTTGTGGGTCAAGATAAAGACATTTTAATAAGGAAACAAAACAAAACCACTCACAAAAAAAAAAAAGTGACGCAAAAGCAATCCGTTATCACAGGCTGAACTATGCCCATCCAGGTCCTGAGCAATGGCAACCCCTGGAAAATCGCCCTCCAGTTTTATTGCTGCACATGACACTGTATGGTATGGAGTATCAGCATCACTTTGGTCAGTTTGGCTCAGGTGTCTCAGCTGTGTTCCCTCCCAGACTTTTGTCCACCACCAACCTACTTGGTGAGGGGGCAGAGTGAGGAGCGGAGAATGCCTTGACACTATGCAAGCACTGTTCAGCAACAGCAAAAACATCAGTCTGTTACCAAGACTGGTCACAAATCCAAAACATAGCACCATGCAAGCTACTATGAAGAAAATTAACTCCATCCCAGTCAGACACAGTACGCATGGGAAAATAGTCCAGCTGACTCCATCTGCAGCTAGCGAAGGGCTCACAGATTTCTTCACTTCAGCTCATATCTTTGCATTGTTCTCTCAAGTCCTGGCCTCCAAAGCAATGACTATTGCAGGGTTACCATTGTGTAAACACAGATGCAGATGATCTGTATAGATCTGGCACTACACCTAAGCTAACAAACCTTCCTGCTTGCTTGGGTTGCTAGAAAGCACAGAAGACATCTCCAAATAGAGTTAGCTGGAAGTCAGCACTGACAATACTAAGCAAGAGCTATTGAGCAACTGTGGAGCTTAGTCTAATAAGTCCTCCATTGCTTATCTCTGAGGCACACCCTAGAACGGCCTGTTACTTTGCCAGGGTGCTAAAAAAATCAACAGATACTTTGCATTACTTCTACAGGGGGTTCAAGCTAAATATCTTCAGTACCTGCAGTGCCAGGAAATCAAGCTGACTCGGCGTGAACTTACTCCTACGGAGGCATTTGTATGCACTGTGCAGAAAAATCCTAACTGATGGAACTAATTGTCCCAGAACAATAAATGTAAGTGCACAACACTGTACCGTGTTTCCGCAGTGCACTAGGGCAATCAAGTCTCCCATAACCCAGAGGGCTGAGGAATGAACTAAAAAACTCTTTGAGTAGCTCTGCAGGAACTACTTTTGATCTGGGTAGGCTTCGTAGCAGCCACATCCCATTCAGCCTGGCTTCATGTCTCGGGGCTGTATGTTATTCCCAGTTGATTCTATCTGCAGAATTTCCCCCTATTACCCAGAATATCCCAACGTTTTCTACCAAAGAAAAAGACAGAATTCTATCGATAGTAAGGTCACTGCCACCCATTCTTCCTAGCAAGGATTTAAGTAGAGGCAACTGTCTTACACACAAGCATCAACTATACATAATCTAGAAGGTGGTACTGTTCGGTTACTCTTAATGCCAGTTTTTGCCACAGGACAGCATGGATCATATGACAGCATGTAAAGCTCTGTGTGCTGACTCCTGACTGACAAGGAGAGTTCTCATTTTTTTGCAATATCGGCCCTACATTCTACATGAGGAACACTGAGTAAATCACAGTCTACCATCAGGAATTATAACCTCTGATCTTCTAACGTACTGGACCCTCAGCAGGCCCAGTTCAGTCTATTCAGAACTAGCTTCAAAGGGTCTCTACCAAGAGCCTATTCTTTAAGTACCTTCGAGACCCAGCGTTGCTTTGTGCCCTACAAACTTGGAACACAGGCAAACTTTTTGCTACATGTCATTACCATCTGCTTCAAAGATAACAGCGAGGTGGGAACTGTCTCTTAATTACAAATTCATTTATGATGCCAGGAACTCTGCATGAATAATATTCCAGTATCTGAAGCTGTACCTGTAGCTAATTAGCTACAATAAATATTTAAAACATACTAGGAACCTACATGAATACTGGGAATAAACAATTGAGGCAAAAAACCTACTTTGGTTACTTTAAGCAATAATAATAAAGCCTATCATTCAGAACATTGTGACACACAAAATCAGGTTCTGCTATGATGATTTATGCCTCTACTCAACTGATAAGAAATTGAAGACGCATCTATGCAAATTAACACCTACTCAAGAAACAGACTACCAACTAAGTTCATAAAATGAATTTTCAAGCATGGAATATTTCTACTGACCTAACTGAAGTTAATGATAGTATGATTTTACCACAGATTTGCCAGTTTTTATGCTGTGTCTTCTCAGTGTATATTTCTTCAGCTTGCTATATCCGTTTCAGAATTAATTTCAGTTTTGAGATTTGGGGATGTATAGTCATTACTTACTCTTAACCACAATTTTAATTAATTTTGTTCATGAAGTCCCAGCCATCAACACTTGCGAAATGCAGCTAGCTTGCAGCAGATTCTGTTCTTACCCATTTGTTTTTACGCATGTTCTATTACCCTTTTTCTTCCTTATGGTCCACGATACAATTTAGGCCTTTTACTGTTACAAATCTGTCCTGTTCTTGTTGATCTTACTCATGAAACTCTTAGACTTCAAATAATTTGAAGACTGGGGAAAAAAATAAGGTGAAAATGTAGCTACTAATCTTTTACACAGTAGGACATATCCTACCGTAAGTCTCAGATAAAGTCCTAACCTACTAGATAATCTTGCTGTCTAAACACAGGGGAAAAACAGCTTTTGCTGTAAGACTTAAGGCCCGTAACAGACAAACTCATACTGCCTGCAGGACAGCCTGACAAATCAACAAAGGCTTTGAGTCTTTATACAGATTACACACAGTACGGTAGTACCCTGTTCTTCAGAAAAATACACCCTTTTTTTGTCAGCAACACCTCTGTCTTCATTTAAACATGTTCTTAAGAAGTTCTGTACTAATTATTTCTGTACCTAGTGAACACCTGGTGAACTTAGAATAGCTATGAGTAAAGCTGGGAGCAGGGAAAGGGGAAATCAGAACAACAACTTCAAATCTATATTGGAGTTTTTTCTATTAGAAGAAAAGGGTTATGCAAAGCTAATTTTCCTTTTGATTAAACACATCTTTATTCAAAGATACATATATTATACACATCTAGGGTATACAAGGAATATTTCCACAACAGTGCCAAAATTACTTTCTTATGGTTACTGGCATAGAGTCATAAAATTTCAACATGAAACAATAAGAAAACTCACAGGTGAGGAACTGTGACCTGGAAGGGGGTTGGGATTTTTTAGATTGGAGTACTAACTCTGAATTTTTGTGGGGTCTACAGCAATGCAAACCTCTCTAGTTTCCATATGAGTACAATTAATACTCTCCATTTTAACTTTTGAAATCGCCAAAGATCTGCTTAAACATCAGAGAGCCATTGTACACATATTGTAACTGTTAAGAGTAGACAAGTCAAGAAAAACCAATTAGCTCCTGCTACTTAGTAAATCACATAAATTCTCACAAAGTTTCCTGCTGTTTTTTTTTTTCCCTTCACATGCCAAAAATCATAATGCATCATGATAGCCTTAAAAGATTTCTGGCACTATTTTCTACAGTCTTTTTATCCTAGAAATACGAACACATTAATCTGCAAGTTTAGTGCTAGTGACACAAGAGATATCCCCATCACTTTTAACAGAATTTTGAGTACTTACCTTCCCACAGAACAAAGTGCTTTACATGTGTAACTTGGTTTTCTGCTCAAGTTTTCAAGGTCATAAAGTACAATAACACCATCTGATCCACCGGATAACATGCTGAAATTGTTAATAAAGCACACAAGTTACAGTACTCATGATCTCAATGTAACTGAGTGTTCATCAAGCAAATAAATCCAGAGTACCAAAATACAGTGAAGTACACACATACACTTTTACCAACTAAAGTATATACTTACTATCTTCCCTCAACAGGCTCAATATCAAGGGTGTTGATACCACTCCCATGTATTCTTTCCACATCTCTATCTTTATTTAATTCCAAACTTAGAACCCTTAAAACAACAACAAAAATGAAAAACAGATATTAACAACAAGAACAACAGAATTGTAGAATGATACTATGTAGCTCTCAACAGCTAAACCCATGGCTTTGCGCTTCCTGAATGCATTTAATCCATCCACATTATTTTTTGCAAAACTAGACTTTTAGACACGATATAAGGCTGGAAGTAAGTCCCGTGAAGTTGGCAAAGAAAAACGTTTTATTCTTTATGTTGGTTGGAAGGTTAGGAGAGAAATAGATATGTAAAATAGGCTCAAAGAAATAGCAAAACTGCATTTGGGGTCAACATACGAAACAAAAAACAGAATGCAATTTGAAAACACTGAGCAAAAGAAACATTAAGCAGCAGATGTTTCTTTCACAACAAATACTAGTGACTTTGAAGCCTTCCAGCCTTCCAAGCTTCATCCTGCTTGGAACTACGGACACCTAGTGGACAGATTCATTTAGTTTAACAAATTACAGTATTTCCTCTAAGGAAACAACGTCTGTGTGTTACATTTTCTGTAGCATTAAATAAAAACTATGCTATCCGCACGATCAAGCTTCCAACACAGACTTTTCTGAGCGGCAATTAGTATCTTGTACTACTTATTAGTAGCCTGTATCTTTAAATGTGGTAACACCACATATTCAAAAAAAGAAACAGATTCTGCTTCCTTAAACCATACTACCTGATATGAAATTAGCCTTACCAGATGATCAGAACTTCCTACAGCAATATTTTGCCAAAAACACTAGCAGCAAAAACGTAACTAAGCAGATAACTGAAAAGCTGTAAGGCAGAGTGCCCCTCCCCCACCATCTTCAGCTTGAGTGGCAAAAATCTTGATGTGAGAAGATCAGGCTGCTACAGGCAGACCCCCAGCAGTATGTCTGTAGGCACGGTTCAAAAGCAGCAAGTCTACAAGATACCTAACTTCAAACTTCTGAGCTGATGACTGAATTTTAATCAAGCAATAAATCCCCCTCAGGAAGTGTTTCAAAACATCTGACTTTAAAATGCAGTTATAAATACCATGAAGACTATAGACTACTTCTTTTTAAAGTCGAAATTAAAATGTTTAGGAAGGGACGTGTTAGATAGACAGCTGTCTAAGCAATGTAAATTCTGCCCACCTTGTTTCCGTTCTTAACACTGAAAGCTACAGGAGTGCTGAGGGCACAGAAAGGGTGTAACTGTGTTGTCAAAACGCACACAGAAAGGACCTTCCTGAGCTGTCAAAACTCATGTAAATTTTAAACAGATTCTTTTTAGAATGGTACAGCCCCAGAAGCTGTAAATCGCCAACACAAATCCTGCCTGCTGATGGAGCTGTGTTAGCGACTGAACTAAGATTGGCTTTATTGGCTTTATCTCGAACTACATCTGCAAAACTGATCCTTTGACAATGAATATTATCAAATTACAACCTTTAGCAGGAATATTAATAGGCCTCTCTACGCAGCCACCACTTCCCACAGAAGCTGCTGGGAAGTTAACAAAACCCCCACATCTGGTTCTTCTGCAACCCGCCAACCGGCCAAGCTCGGAAAGAGGGAGGGCGAACCGACGCGGGCACACAAGCGCCACGCAGATCTTGTTTCTTCACACAGCAGAGCACAGCGCACAGCCGCACGCAAATGGAGAAAAACAGCGAAACCGCTAAGGTGGGGAGGGCAGCGGTACCCAAGCACGGTTCATTGCCCTGCGCCTACTCAGCCTACGGACACCCCGCCATTCGGCCCGCCCCGGGGCTGCTAACCCACAAAAAACCACCCCACGGCGGACTGGGCGACAGGGGCGGCAGACAGGCGGCAGC